ACTTCAAAGTCACTTTCTTAAAAGTAGAAATGTCCCTAGACACTAGGCAACCCCAGTCATAGACCCCCGCCTCCTGACCTTCCACGGCCCTCCCGGTCCACACCATCTGACTTCAGACACCTTCACTCAACACTCCAGTGCCAAGCACAGTGGGGTGGGAGGAAAGAAACACACGGGGTCACTTCACACAGAGGCCCCAGATTCCGCGTCGTGTTGACAATACTGTAAAGCTCTGAAACCTGGGGCCACTGGATCAGAGGGAGGCTGGGCTGTCTTCTTCTCCAGGTGCAGGGGACAGGAACAAAAGCCTTCTGCTACAGTTTGTGAAGCTAAGATTTCCAGGACAGAGCAGGGTCCTTAAGGGGGCCAGGCTGGTCTGTCCCAGTGGGATCATCTGCCTGGCTATAAATAAAGACTTCAGACATGGGAGGGGTCCAGCAGCCAGGTAGAAGCACCTACCTCTTGCTCACCCCAATTCATTTGTCCTTTCATTGCCATCAGTACCCCACTTATATTTAACAAAACCTAACATGAAAATAATATTGACGTTCTTTTATAGGCACACAATTTGGATGCCACTTACAAGTTTTTTCCCCAATATTTCCCCTAGAAGCTCTCATTATGTCAGAATTATTAGGAAGAGAGGGAAGAGAGAGAGGAGAGAGGAGAGAGAGAGAGAGAGAGAGAGAGAGAGAGAGAGAGCCTGGAGAGGCGGGGAAGCTCTGTTCTATTCTGTCAGGGAGAAGAAAATAAAGAGAAATCAGGCTGGCTTCAAAGGGCACATTTCCATAATTGCCCTGTAACTTTGGCAAAATAAATCTGAGCATCTGGGGGCAGCACAGTTGCCAGATGAGTGCACTCCAAAGGCCCTGGAGGGCTGTGGCCCACTTGTTAGCGGCCTAGCATAGTGAGAGAATGCAGGACTGTCACTGGCACAAAGACATGACATCACAGCCTTCATGGCCAGGCCAAGCCAGGCTAGGCTACAGGCCAGGAGTCAGATTTGACCCCGCCTTTGTCTTTGTCCTGCTCCCTGACATGAGACACATACATGTGCCCTGGCTCTCTCTCTCTCCTTCTCTTCTTTTCCTCTCTCTCCCTCTCTTTCTATTCATCCCTCTCCCTCTCCTTCCCTCCCTCTCTACTCTCTCTCCAACCCCCTGGGAGAGGGGTTAAACTAAACCCATAACAAAATGGATGAGGTTTTGTTCTTGGGGACCTGATGATGACTGAGGAGTAGCAATAATTACTGGGCCCACACTACGTCACTTGAGTGTGCATCTGTGACCACCTTTTTGTACCGACTCTTGGCAACAGAATCTACAAGAGAAGGCCCCCAACTTTTTAGAGCCTTGGCCTCCTTGGATGGACCTCTTCTTCACCACCTTGGCTGGGAAAAGGTTCATCCAGAAATGACCTAAGATCTATTTTTGCATTTCCTAGGCTCATGTTTTGTTTTCTGTTGGTCATCTCTCACCCCCTCTTTTTCCTTCTAATGCCACAAGCCCTTAAAGAACAGAAGCGGTCCGCTCCGCACTCGGTTTTAGCATTTCCTTCAGCAAGCTGAGGCGTCAGGGAGAGAGAATTGCTACAGACACCTTGATGTCTCATCTCCGTTGTCTCTTGCCTTTAGCACGGTGGACACCTTAGTCACATCCAGGCACCCGGCAGACTTCACCTGCACGGCTTCGAGGAGCTTTGGGCGGTGATGCTGTGGACTCATTCCTAGCAGAGGATCCCCCGTGTCTAAAGGACAGCGATTCTGGTGTCTATCCTACAGTGCAGTTCCGTCCTTCACCCCTGATTTTAATCTTCTGCGGGCATTGTCATCTATCCCGGGCTGGGCGAGGAGGCAAGATGGCGTCGCTGGGGATTGCAATTCTATTTTTTAGGCCTTTTCTATTGCACGCCACTTTGGAGGTTTTTTTCATTCATTCGCCTTCCAAGGGACCTGTTCCCGGGAGCAATCCCACCGTAGGCAGACATTTTTAACGTGGTCAAGTTACGTGAGTGGATCAGGTGACAGTGACCAATTTAGACCAGGAAAGGCTATCTGATGGTGTATGGGGTACTCCTACCTCACAATTATCATTGGGCCTATTTTTCTTCTTCGTTTTTTTAGGTCCATTCTTAACCACTTATGGATTTGCAAGAAAGTTTGGCTAAGTTTGTCAAATCCAACCTTTCCCAGATGTTCGAAGTGAGGCCAAAGAAACACGAGGCTTGCCCCCACTCAGGTTAAAGCTAGCTTCAAACACAGACACAATTTTACAGACTCATAGTTGCCCATTTTTTTTTTCTTAATGGGACACATGTAACCAAGGATTCTAGGAAGGAGAAGCTGTTTCTAGAAAGACACAGGAATCAGTCCCAAAGGGAGTCCTGGCAAAACCTTCCAATCAACCCAAACTCTTCGAAGACCCCTGACATATAATTCTCACCCAGGCATTGGTCTCTCTGATTAACTTCCCCCCTAACAGGTAGGCCAGTGACTGAGGAGACTTTAGGCCTCCCTGTCCTCCAGGTGCCCAGAGAACATCAGCTCAGAGGTGGAACTTGTCCCCGCTCCACTCCTGGCATAGAGCATGTACTAGTCCCTGGCCCGTCCTTGTCACTTTGGGATTGCACTATACTTCCTCCTACCTGAGTCCCCTCCCCTCAAGACAGTTTAGTTAGAAACCACTAATGTGCAGATGGAAAGTCACCTGGGAGGTAATTTTATTCTCCTTAGGACCCCTGGCTTTGGGAGGCACTGCCTTCTCCCAGCTATGTTCAGATATTGAGGTCTCCCACCTAACTTGATCCCCTATACACTTTGGAGGGCTCTGAGTAACCAAAGGAACAGCAGGGACACTTTCTAGTCAGGGACTACATATTTCATCTCTAATTGAAGCTGCATTGGAGACAAGACAAATCCCGCTTCTTACCCCTGCCACCATCTCTTCTGCTTCCTCCTAGATTTTAGGGATCAATGGTAAGGGACAGCGGGAGTTCCTGGGACCCCTTCTTCTTTTGTTGGTATCTTGGGAGCTCGTGTTTCTCCTTGGTTAAGTTATTATATTGAAGTCAACTTGGGATCAGGGGAGTCAGAAGTACACATGCATGGAGCCATGGCCAGGGTTAGTCTGACTCTCCTGGTTCCTCATTTTGTTCTTTCAAGACCGACAGGCTGAGCCTAAGAAAATGCCACCATCTGGGAATGAGATAGCTAGAAAACCAGAGGCTTCCCTGGAGAGAGGCCCTATGTCTTCTGTCAGTCCTGCCAGCCTCTCCACACCCATTTCCCTCCCATTGTCGAAACTCCTCTTCCTGGGGGCTCCACCCAGAAGACTTCTTCTGTGGTCACCAAGATCTCCTTTCCCCTGGGAAGTTTTCTCTTGCCCTTGGTAAAGCTGCTTGCAGAAGCTCTTAAGTCGCCGCCGGGAGGAAGACATCTCACTCTTCTGGGAGATGGGAGGGAGTGAGGCAAATGCCCCACCTCGCGGAACTGAAGATGTTTGAGCATCTGTAAAGGTCTGGACATCCTACCTAAGAATGAGCAAGGGCAGAGCATCCTCTGCCGTTCTTACTCCACCGTGTGAGGCAGGCAGCGGATGAGAAAGGACCCATGAAAGGGAGTTCTCTGCCCTTGGCTTCCCGGAAGTAAATAGGCAGCTAGTGTGGGCCACAGCTAAGCCCCAAACTGGAGAAGGGGCGTGGTTCTTGTACAGAGCTCTGGCCTTTGTCCTGGGGTACTGACTTCAAATTCAGATGCATGACCTAAGAAAATGGAGCTTGTAAAGGATCTTGAGCCTCTGAAATACCTTAGCAAAGAGTATCTCAGGCCTCTTCCTGGCTGTCCTTGTCTTTGCCAGTGGTCCATCTCTCTCCCCAGGTCACTTGTGTTGCTGGCAGCTGGGTCCTCACCTCATGGACCCGAACCCACCAGCTGCCCTCTCGCGCAAACTCTCCAAGGTACACAATGTTAACTGTCCCTGATCCAGACTTCAGCTCTTCATACCGCCCAACAGTGCGCATGAAGGTCACAAACCCTGCTCTTCAGCTCCAATGCACGGCGTCTGGCTAGCCTGAAAATCTAAAGTTCCAGACAAGGGTGCCTCAAAGGTGCCCCCCCCCATTCGAACCCCAAGGCGTCACTATCCTAAGCGTGACCCTCTACTTCCTAGCGTGAAAGTTGGGCGAACCAGGCCAGCAGTGTCAAGTCGGGCTAGGGCAGCTTTGGCCGGAGAGGCCGGACGCCGAGCGTCCCCTACGTCCTGTAGAGGGAGCTCCAGCCCCAGGTTTCTCACTATCCCCCCCCCTCCCCCCGCCGGACTCCTGCCGCGATCCCAACACCAAAGGTGTCGGGATTAGACCCCAGCCCATGCTGGCATCTCTTAAAACAGCCCCTTCCCTAGCACCCAGGGACTAAACGCCGCCTGTCTTCGGCCTTGGACTCCCTACTCCAGCGCGGTCACACGCCACCAAGCGGGAAGCGTGAGCACCCCGGCTTCTCCCGCAGATCTCCTACACCCTTGCACCTATAAGGAAGGAGATGTTGGAGAGGGACGCGAGGTGGGAGCGGCCTCGAAGTTGAGCGTGGACAATCTCTATACACGGGACTGAGAAACACCAGTTGTGCGGGGTCGGAATGGGAGCAGGGAGGGAGATTCTTCTTGTTCATGCCCTGAGTTCCTGGAAGCTTCTCTAAGTCTTTCTGCTAAGTCATCAGAGAAGGCCCCAAGGCCCCACGGTTACTCCAGTGGACCCGCGGACAGAACCCAGTTCCCCAGCTCCTACTAGAGAGTAGGCCTCTTTTTCTCTTCGGACTCCGCCCTTTCTCTAGGAGCCCAGGGACTTCCATCGTCCCTTCTTGCAGAGAACCTAGCCTGCCTACCTCTGCGTGGACTACTTCCGCCATTGCTGTCCCCTGACCATGCTTGTCCTTGCTTGTGGGGATGGGGGACGCGAAAACACCAAAGAACCATCAAACAGATCGGTCCAGGTGGCAGACCCGCCGGTTATAGTCAAAAGTGGCAACAGCTCATTTATTTAGCCAAAAATAGATACTTTCTTGTACAATTTGGTTCACACGTATGTACATTTCTCTGTATATACAAAAAGAGTCAGACACGCTTATCCTCTCTGCAACTCCACCCCGCCCACCCCCGAAATCAACAGAACAAACGAACCTCACAATCTAATGTGGGGCAGTACAGAAGCGACCTGGGGAGGGCCAAGGGGAACCGGCTTTATTCTTTCTTTCGTTCTTTTTTTTTTTTTGTGTGTGTGTGTGTGTTTGTTGGTTGGTTTAGTGTTTCTTTTTTAGGTATTCATACACAGACATGCTTGCAAGTCATAACTATACAGAGCGATTTTTTTTACAATTAGTACAACGATTTAAAAATTGTTCAAAGAATTAAGATGAGGAGAGAGCTGATAAGACCAGAGCAGCATCCAAGTGGTTCTGGGGCCTGGAAGAGAGAGCGGAAGCAAAGGAAGCGAGATTTAGAGACTTAGAGCCTGCTGAGGTAGGGGGCACTCTACTGAGCCTAGGGTCAAGCGTATGGACTTATTTAGCCCTGGGTGTAATAACTCTAAACTGCACAGAAGCGATCAGAATTCGAGGTCGGGCCTGGAAGGAATTGGGCATCACGCAGGATAGGCCGTGTGCTCCCGTGGCCTGTTGGCGGGGCCAGACTCCCTCAGCTCTGTACCCACAGGCCCTGCTTGAGGTGCCCGAACTGAGAATGAAAAAGCTTCTTACGGGTCCACAGGAAGTGAGAGAAGAGTGGATTTTTTTGTGCTTTTTAGAAATAGATTCCCAGCCACGTTTCTCCCTTCTCCGGGTGCGGTGGGGGGGAAGCAAATGGTTTCTGCCATTGGTTCTGCGTTTTCCTTATCATTCCTGAAGGGTCTCCCACTTTGGTTCCCAAATTCGGGGTCTCTTACCGCCTTGGCACCGGCTGGAAAGCTGTCTTGAGCAACTTTTTCTCCATTTCCAAGGCACTACAGCGATCTGTAGGAAACAAGGGGAAGAAAAGGGAGGCCTTCAGAACGCTAGGTCCAGGCCTCTAGGGCCGCTGTACCCGTTCTGGAGCGAAGAGGAAAACAGCTTACTTTCCCCAAACCCCCTGTTCTTTTCCTCTGGCCGAGAGCCCCACCAACAGCCTCCCTCTGTGTCCCACACTTCTGTGGTCACCTGTTCCACTCTCCGGCTCCGTGGGCCGAGCGTAGGCGGCGGCGGCAGCCGCCGGGTGACCAGCGGCTCCGGGAAGTCCCAGCAGGTGCTGTGGGGCCGAGCCCAACATGGACAACGGGTGCGGCCGCGGGCCGGGCGGCGGGCCTGGGAAAGGCCGGTTGGTCCAAGCGGGGAATTTGCCAAGCGGCGCCGAGACGAGTCTGTGTGCCGCTGCTGCTGCAGCGGCAGCCGCGGGCGAGAGCTGCAGCGTCGGAGGCGCGACGGCTGCCCCGGGAGGAGAACCTCCGGTTCTGGGAGGCGAGCGACGTGGGTTATCCGGGCTGGTGGCCGTTTCGGCCAGTGACCAGATCTTGGGCTTCTGCAGGGTGGAGGAGGGCGCTGGTGCGGGAGCACAGGGGTCCAGGCCCGAGGGTGGAGAGGGCGGAGATGGAGGAGCCCTGGCCACAGGCGGTGGCGCTGGGGCCAGGCTCAGGACCGACAGTGGTCGCTCCTCCAAGCCTTCGGAGCTATCGTCTGAGTCGCTATTTTTGCAGTCCGAAATGGGTCCTAGGCCGAAGTCCCCGTTCCTGTGCGTTGCCCCAGCCAGGGTCAGTTCCGGCCCGGCTGCGGCGCTGTCTAAGTTTTCCAAATCGATCTCCTCATCTTCCTCGTCGTCCGCCAGGCCCTCGCCCCCCGTGTCCTCCTCCCCAGCGAGCTCCTCCTCCTCCATCTCCAGCTCTCGTTTGCCCTCTTCCTCATCTTCTTCTTCGTCCTCCTCCTCCCGCTCGCTCCCATAAGCATTGCCCTCCTCGTCGGTGCGACTACGGGGCGCCCACGTCATCTTGTTCTCTTTCTTGAGGCGCCGGCGCGCGTTGGCGAACCAGGTGGACACCTGGGTGAGGGTCATCTTGGTGATGATGGCCAGCATGATCTTCTCGCCCTTGGTGGGGTACGGGTTCTTGCGGTGTTCGTTGAGCCAGGCCTTGAGCGTGCTTGTGCTTTCCCGGGTGGCGTTCTTGGGACGGGACGGGTCCCCGAACTGGTACTGGCCATAGGGGTAGAAGGCGGGGTGCGGGTGCGGGAATGCGGCGGCCGTGGCCGGATGCTGGACCCCAGGGCTGTCCTTCAACTCATACTGAGCGCCCTGTACGCACATGAAAAAGGAAGGGGACACGCGCGGGGGAGCGCGAGTGAGCTCCAGTCGTCGCAGCAGCCTCCACCCTCCCGCCGGGACCCTGGTTTTCTTCTGCACTCTCACTTTGCCCTGCACCCCAGCTCCAACCCCTCTTTCCCGGGTTTCTCCGGCTCTTACCAGCTGTGGGAAGATGGGCAGCTCCGTAGCGTAGGGCAAGAAGGCGCCGTAACTCTGGGCGGCGGCAGCTGCAGCTGCGGCCGCGGCGTAGGGTGCCCCGTACACGGACGAAAGCACGTTGGATAGGGACCCCGAGGCGGCAAGCTCCGAGGCTCCGGCGCCGGGACCGCTCCGGCCTCCCGCGCTGCCGCCGCTGCCGCCTGCGGCTCCCGGGCGCTCGGGTGGGTAGAGCGGGCGGATGTACTGGTATCCGAGCTGGGGGAAGGACATGGTGGCCCACGGGGCACCTACGGAGTGGGGGCCCGGCCCCCGGGGCCGCCGTGCTCAGTGCCGCACGTTGGCTCCGGAGCGCATCGGGGGCTGGGCCGAGCCCGGGCCGCGTTGCCTCCCGCGCTGCGCTGCGCTTCGCGTTCGCCTATTGATCTGCTCCGCGGCGGCGGCGGCGGCGGCGGCGGCGGCGAGGAGTCAGGTCAGGTCCGAACAGATTGGCCGAGATTCCCTGGGCTCCGGGCTCTGATTGACATTTCTACGGGGCCGCAAGCCCCTCCTCTCTGCGCCGTGCTCCCTCCTCTAGGCCGGGAGAGCCTCTCTGTGCCTAACGCTCAGGTCTGTCCTCCTCTCCAGGAGCTGTGTCGCGCCTCGCTTCCTTCGCCCTCCTACAGTTTACACTCCCACCCTGTCCTTTCCACTCCCCTCCCCTCGCTGCGTCCCCTAGCCCCCACCCTCTGATCGCTTCCGCTCCCAAGGCTCCTTGGCAGTCCTGGACGCTGGGAAACTGCGGTTCTTTTTCCTCTTTCCCTTTCTCACGGTTCCTTTTGCTCACCTCTCAGCTCTCTTCACTTTTTCTAATCTGACTCCTCTCTCTTTTAAATCTCTTTACTCTCTCATTTTCTCTTCCCTGTCCCCAGTCTCTGTGTCCTGGGCTAAGGCGACCTAAAGTTGAAGACACTTAGAATGCTGTGCTGGGGGTGTGCGTCCGCGTCAGTGTCTGTGTGTCCGTCCCCGCCCTTCCACCCCCGCCCTCACCCTTCCCCAAATCTCGAGTCTGACGTTGCGCCCTCTTATTCGACTTTTCCTCGCGTCTCCTCCTGGAGTCTCCAATCACCCGGGAGCCTTCTGGGCGAGGCGGTCTTCCCTCGCGAATACAGAGCGCCGGGAGGGGCGGGGCAGGACGGGACGCAGTCTTTTCCCGCCCCCTCCTGCCAGCACAGGGGTGGGGGGGAAACCTAGGCCAGGAGTGGCGGGTTAGTGCAGGGTCACCTCTCCTCTCGAGTCTTCCAACTCTGTTTTCAGCCCCCTCAGCAGCTATAGTTCTGGGGTGGGACGGGACCCCGTACCTAGGCAGGCTCCAGGGCTTCGGCGGTGGTTCCTTTTGCAGTTCTCAGCTCCGGACGCTCTCTATAGCAGAAGCCGGCAGCTAAAAGGGCAGCTAAAAGAGTTTAGCATGCAGCCTGAAGTAGGGAGAGCTGCCTCTCCGAGCCTTTAAAAGACCGAATCTGTGCCGGGGAAACCCTGCAGTTTACCACGTTAACACCTCCGGGGTACCTCGGTGAGAATTCTCATTAGAAAGTGAGTTTGGCGCCCAGGTGGTCTTGTGGAACGTGGAAAGAGCTGGAGCTCCTGGCTGGGGGTGGGGGTGGGGGGTGAGGGGGTGGGGGAGGAGCAGAGAGCCTCACCGCGGAAGCTCTGGGAACTTTCCGAGAGCGCATCGAGAAGTTTCTGCGTTGGTGTTTTTGGTCGATTATGACCATTCATTTCACTGTCCCTTCTCCTGTTCGCCAAGGCCAACGCCAGTGTTTTCTTTTGGTGACAATTCCCCCTAGAGCAGAGGAGCGCGTGCATGTGGGGGTGGAGAGCAAGATTTTGGTTTTATGGTAGGATAGCTAAATGTTTCATGGTAGGGTACCTAAATCTAACTTGAAATGATAGTGTCTAATTGCCCACCTTCACGGATTACGGCGTGTAGGGGAAAGTCACACAGAAATTCCCGTAATAGTTGTGGCTCCTAGCTAAACGATTTAGACTGTGGTGGCGACCCATGCACAGCCAGGCCTGCTGCGGGCCTGCAGCCCAAACAACTCCTGGGCTGCGATTCTTCAGTAGAGCAACGAGCTCCAGCTTAGAGGCAGAAACGCCACTCCCGCGCCTCAAGTTGATCTAGGAATCCAGTCTGAATTCTGCCTGCATGGAGGATATCTTAGGGTCTGGGGTTTGTCAGTTCTGGTATGAATAGTTAAGTTAGGGAATGAAGATTTCTTTTGCCCTGGCCCTGGACTCCAGTCAAAAGTGGAGTCCGTGTGTGTGTGTGTGTGTGTGTGTGTGTGTGTGTTACCTCGTGTTACATTCCATGGGCCTTTGTACCGGCCATAGGTTCCAGGAGGTGCTAACTCAGAAAATTAGTGGGGAAGCACAGTTAGGAGAGCTACCTAAAGTTTAGAGTTCCAAGGTAGCATCTGGAATTTCCTTAAGCTGGTTCTGTGCAGCTTCTCCATCCCTTCCTGGCTCTCGTTGCCCGGTGCTGGAGGTTGCCTTTAGGTGAGCCTTGACCGTGGGGGCACAGCAGGGCCGGCACTGGTCTTAAATGCTTTTCTCCAGCCTGATTCCGTTTCTGGTTAAACTTGTCATGGGAAGCCAGCCCTCAGCTGCTCGGGAAGGATCTTAGGGTTACAGAATCGAGGTGACATTAATTCCTAGGATCTTTTCTATGTGTAGGACTGTGAGTCTTGCCAGGCAGCTGTGAAGACCTAGCTACCCGGTGGTGAACGAGAGTAACGGGGGACAGAGCCAGATTCCAAGGTGGGCGAAGGGGCTTTGCTGTATGTGCCTGGGTGAAAACAGATATTTAATTCCGCCCCCCCCCCACCTGAAGTAAAAGAAAAACAAAACGCAGAACCACACAACAACACTCCCCCCCACACACACTCTCTCACACACAGGGGCCTCTGAGATGCTCCTTCTGCATTGCATTAACCACCTATCGACCTAGTTGTGCCCGACTGCGGGTGGGAGCGGGCAGGGAGTCAGACACACACACACACACACACACACACACACACACACACACACACAGAGAGAGAGAGAGAGAGAGAGAGACAGAGAGAGAGAGAGACAGAGAGACAGAGACAGAGAGAGACAGAGAGACAGAGAGAGAGAGACAGAGAGAGAGAACCGGAAGAGCCAGGCTGTTCTCAGGAAGAACTCATGCAGACCGGAGGCGCCCCTGGCCCAGAGGGTGAACCTCTAGACCCAGAAATGAACCTAAGCACCTCGCTTAATTAGATCCCTTCAGGCATTCCAGGCCGGGGGCAGAAACAGCTTCCCTGTTACCCGGTGACCGACTGGGAAGAGCGTTGGCCAGGCCCTGAAATCCGCACTCCACGTATCCCCAGCGGCTGGAGTTCCAACGTGGCTCTGATTTCTCAGTAGGACCAGGCCAGTAGAACCCAGCTCCCAGACTAAGCTCGTAAATCTGCTGTTAGCTGAACCTTTTCAAGGGATTTTTAATCCAGGAGATTAGGTCAGATTGACACACTCGCACGGAGAGCAAAGAGAAGCAGGTGCACAGGGGAGTTGATTGGGAAAAGACCTGAGCGCAACAACGCGCCGCTGGCAGAAGCTTCTCCAGCACCCCTCCTTCTTCCAATGGCCCCAGTGCACAAAGCCCTGCCGGCCCTCACCACAGATGCTCTCTGGTCTGGGCCCAGGGCGCCAGGAGCGTCCACGCTAGAGAACAACTGCGAGAGGTGCCCGAGGTGTACCCAGGGCCAGAGGCCCATCAGGTCTGGGGTCTGAGCTGAGTAATTCACGTACACCGGGAGCCACCAATCTCCATCTCTTTCCTCTCCTGGTCCAGCTCCCGATGTGCCCGCGCCCCCCATCTAGGGGAGCCGCTGCAGCCGGACCAGTATTTAGTCCTTTCCTCCCAAAGTCCAGAGTCCCCCAGAGGCGGTGCGGGCTGGCCATCCTTCAGCATCCTGCAGACTGCGGCGTGCGCTCCCACTGACTCCCCCCCCCCCCCACCCCGCGCGCGCTGGGGTTACAGGTTAATGAAACGCTCGTTTTCCTCAGTCATTTGTTTTGTTTTCCTGCAAAGTTCTGATAAGTAGCTAACCAACGAAGCTTGTAATTACAATCTTACAGAAACCGGGCCGATCTGTATATAAATCTCACCATCCAATTACAAGATGTAATAATTTTGCACTCAAGCTGGTAATGAGGTCTAATACTCGCGCATGCGATAATCCCCTCTGGATGCTGGCTTGATCAGATGTTGGCTTTGTAATTAGACGGGCAGAAAATCATTATTTCATGTTCAAATAGAAAATGAGGTTGGTGGGAAGTTAATTTCTCTCCGCTCTGTGAAGCGTAGACAAGAATTTAATGATTTAATTACAGTTGTAAGCCCTTTCCATGAGACTTAAATTGAGCTGAGAATATTTTTTTTCCTTTTCTCTCTCTCCCCCTCTCTCACTTTCGCGTTCTCTCTCTCTCCCCGCTATTAGCAGCCACACGGACTTGCAGATGCGTGGCCTGGCTTAGCGCCGGGAGGAATTCACATTTGACTGTGAATCTGGCCTCGGAGCATCCCAGGAGGCACGGGCCGGGCGCCGCCACGTCTGCCGTGCAACTCTGACTGAGCCCTGTAAGCTGTCAGGGCCTCGGAGGCTGTCCCTTGGTCCAGAGACGCCACGGGAAACTTTGGGGTAAACTTTGTAAACTTCTCTCCTGGCTCTATAGAGAGATCGCTGGTCGGAAAGGCTGCAGCGGCGGCGGCAAGGGCCCCAGGCCGGATTTGTGCACGGTGGAGCGGGCCCGGTCGCCCCTAAAGGAGCGCAAGGTTCTCCAGCGGGCCCTCCGTACTTCTGAACCTCCCGGACCAGGACCTCTGCCACCGGCCTTCGAATGACCAGATCTGCGCCGCGGCTCCCGGAATCCCAGCATGGATGGAAAACCGTGGCCCTGAGCGCGAGTGGTTTTATTTCTCTTTTCCTCTGCAGTATCATCCCGTTTCCACCTGCGCCGAGCATTTCCGCCGTTCTCCCTTTTTTCCGTCCTATTTATTCCTCGCGTTTTTTGTATATTTAATTTCCGGGGTTTTTATTTTTCTCGTTTTGGACTCCTAATGTGTTCTTTTTTATTTCTTTTTTTTCCCTGAGTCTTTTTTCCAACCCCCCGTTTGCATCTCCCCCCTCTTTTCTCGGGTTCTTCTTCCTTTTCCCTCTCCCTCTCTTTCATTCCGATCCGTCCTATTTCAATCTTGGTCAATCCCAGGCTCCCTTCTGCTGGTTTATTCTCGGTTCCTTTCCTCTACAGAGTCTGTCCCCTCCCCCGCCCATGGATCTGCTTCCCCGGCATCCCCTTCTCATCCATCTTGGGAGATGAATATGTCGCCTTATTGGATGCGGAGGCCAGAGCAGGGCGATGGGGCTCGGCCAACGTCGCACATTTTCTTCATGCATATTGAGAATATGGTAATGAGCGCGTTTGCATTGTTGCATGGAAATGATGCATCTCCCTCTGCGGTGCCGAGTGGGCAAGGTTGGTGTGGACCCAAGAGAGCCCGGTCGTGGGCACCGGGCCTTGTGGCCCTAGTTACCCACTGTGGTACAAGGAAGTGATCTCACGAGCGCTCTGCTCGCCCTCCGCCTGTTCTGGCTTCCACAAAGGCGCCGT